AGCCGCATTGTCCCATTGGCCGGGGCGCGAGTTTCATTTTGTTTTCACGAGCCGCATTGGCCCATTGGGGTGGGATTTGAGCTTCGACCAGCCCGTCGGAGATCAACGGCTCGACCGTGGCGTGCACCAGCGGGGCGAGCACTGCCTGAAACACCCTGCAGCGGAGCAACGCAACGGGCACCAGCAGGGCACCGTTGCGCAGCGCGTCGGAGTGCACCTGGTCTGGTCGACACTGACGGGCGCCAGCGGGACGAGTGCCACCCGGCGCGCCACGTCGCTGACCGCCGCGACCGGCACCCGCAGAGCATCGCGGCGCAGCGCGCCCAAGAGCAGCAGCTCGACCCTGCCGACCACGAGTGGACGAGCACTGCCCCGAGTTCTACGCAGCCGAGCCACGCGACGGGCATTCGCATCTCAACGTTGAGCAGCACGCAGGCGATCACCAGCTGGACCCTGACGTCCCTGCGCGGGACGAATGCCGTCTCGAGTGCCTTGTCGCTGACCACCGCGAAGGGCGCCAGCAGCGCATCGTTGGGCTGCTCGTCGGCGAGCACCAGCTCGACCCTGACGCGCGCCAGCGGGGCGAGAGCGCGACTGGGGTCCAGCGCCCTGGCGTGCACCGGCGGATTGGGCACTGCTGCGAATTCCACGCCGCTGAGCATCACGACCGATACTAGCATCTAGACTCTGATCAGCAGTGCGGTGGAGAGCAGCAGCTCTACCCTGACGCCCACAAGCGGTACGAGCGCCGTTTCAAGCGCCGCGTCGCGGACCCTTTCGACGGGCATCAGCTGCGCATCACGGAACAGCACGGATGGGAGCAGCAGCTCGCCCCTGACGTCCATGCGTGGGACGACCATTGCATCGAGTACCACGTCGCGGAACAGCACGACGGGAACCAGCACTTCGACGTCGAGCGGCATGTCGGCAAGCGGCAGCTGGATCTTGATGGCCACGAGTGGGACGAGTACCTTTCTGAGCATCACGTCGCTGACCACCGCGACGGGCACCGGAACCGCGCCGCCGAGCGGCGCGGCGGCGAGCACCAGCGCGTTCTTGACGCGCGCCGGCGGGACAAGCACTGCCTCGAGCATCACGTCGCTGAGCTTCGCGACGGGCACTAGCACCTCGACGTTTGGCAGCACGTTGCTGACCTCCACGGCGGGCGCCAACAGCGCATCGCTGAGCAGCGCGACTGGGAACTCCAGCGCCCTGCCGTGCACCGGGATTGCTTCGAGTACGACGTCGGTGAGCGTCGCGACCAATACTGGCACCTCGTTTTTGAGCATCGCGTCGGGGAGCAGCAGCTTGACCCTGATGTTCGCGAGAGGGACGAGCATTGCCTTGAGTGCCATGTCCTTGGCTACCAAGGACGGCCCCAGTAACGCGACGGGTGACAGCATCTCAACGTTGAGCAGCACGTTGGCGAGCATCAGCTCGACCCTCACGTTCACGTGTGGGACGAGTGCCGTCTCGAGTGCCATGTTGCTGACCACTACGACGGGTGCCAACAGCGCATCGCCGAGCTGAATCGTTGGGTGCGTCTGCTTATTTCCACGAGCCGCACTGGCCCACTGGAGGTGGGATGCGAGCTCCGCCCTCGTTCCACGAGCCGCATTAGCCCGCAGATTGTGGTTTCCCCCAATCTCCACAACCCGCATGGGTCCACTGCGGGCGGGAAGCGAGCTTCGATCAGCACGTCGGCAAGCACCGGCTCGACCCTGACCCGCGCATACTTCAGACCGCCTGGATCGCCCTTCATCAGGCCCGCTC